TTATTTATTTAGACAGAGGAAGGAGATTATCTATAACTTCAAGCTTATATTCCCCAATGGGGTACATACTTCTCGAGAACGAACAGTGGAACTTGGCGATTAGTTTATCTTCCGTGTGATAAAGCAATCACAATAGTTAATTTTCTCAATGGAGAACGGCTTTTGTCTATCTTTGAAGTTCGTCGTCCAGACGTTTTGTACTTAAACAACGTACAATCTTAAGGCAATATCAAGATTTTTGTTTTGAAAACTGGGTTAGTGGACTCTGAACTTTATTCCAAAAGAATATTGTTAAAAATCTGTTAAACGTGAGGGTGGGAGAGCCATGCTTCGGCACGAATGGGCCGGCTCGACCGGAGTGATACCACGGCCTCACAGAAAACCGACGTGAAGCAACGCTTGCGTTGTGTTTCGTCGTGTGAGTGAGGTTTCAGGAGGCCCAATTACCCTCCCCTTCCCCAATCTCCGCAATTCCTGAATCCCCAACGATCCTCAAACTCCTAATCCCCAAAAGGCCGGTAACGCACTTGTAACGCCTCTGGTGTTCCAGGTATCTATGGGCGACGCCGATTACTTACCATCAGGCGATCCGTCTGCTCGTTTACCGGCTTATGCCATAAAAAAAAAACAAAAAAAAGCCTCGTATCCACTAGGCAAAATTTGGCGCGCGACACGTGAATCTCAACATGTACGGCAACGCTGCACAACAGCGCGCGACGTTGCCAGCTACCGCGCAACATGACGCGCGGCTTGTTGTTTGTTTTAGTGCATCGTTAGTTGTTCGTCTCCTCGTATCTCTCCTCCTCCATCCTACTCTCATACCACCTATGAAATATGTATCAGAGACATTGTACCTCTAGAACATAATTTTTTAAAAAGAGTAACGAATGGAGTTTCTTGCTCGTTCTTCTCCATTCGAATCTACTATTTGGAATGAGCACCTAGCTTCACCTAGTTTCACTGACGGACTGACTGACAGACTATTATTTATTATGTATTTGTTGACGTTTCAAAAGTACCAAACTATGGTTTAATTGAAATAAATGCTTTGACTTTTGACCTCCATCGTAAACAAATGTTCCGCATCAATATTATACAAGTTGCGAAACATGTTGAGCAACATGTCGCGCTAAATGTTGCCTAGTGGATACGAGGCTTTAGAGAAACAATTTCCGTAGTGTATTACTTTTTGTTTTCTATTTTATTAGGTACTTCATCTAATATTACATTTTATTGTATCTATCAGAATAGTACTATTGGATATTATTTCTGGATCAGATAATTCATTGTTGATATTTCGTATTTGAAAAGTTTTGGGGGCCCTATATAGAGGTAGTTATGGGAGGTAAGACTCATAACATAAAGGTTGTGTGTTGTTTATAATGGAAAGTCCTAGGAATGCCACAATTTCTGACTGAATACAAACGAGTTTATATTCTATTTTCACGGCATTACGACTTTATATTCTATACACAGAGCTAGAACTTCACTTCTATTGTATGAGGGTACTCCATTTTTATTTAACAGGATCTCAGCACCTCGATGGCACTAGAAAAGTGGAAATCTCTTTGTTGTGTCCAAGATACCTTCGCGAAGAGCGATGGACATTGATAACAAAATTTATTGAGTTTAAAATAAACTTTCTACGTCCATTTTATGAAGACTGCAACATTATTACTTTTTTATATTAATAATTTCGTCAAGGGGTACGGTAAACTCGATCGAAACATTACTTGAATAACAAAACATAAAGAAATATCGATTTCGAGCCGACAACATAAGTATATCCGCAAAATTCGGATTACGGAGATTAATTCGTTTTATTAATTCATTTTGATGACACTGACAGACAAACCGCAGTCACCATCTTGAGTAGACAATAAATGTTCCGTTTGATACTAGCTCTCAAATACGCCTCGCCAATCAACACGTCGTCGCGTCAAAAAAAAAAATTAACAAGAAATATGAATAACGCGAACGAAGTCGAAGGTAACAGCTAGTTATATTATATAGTAGTGAATTCTACTGAATTTGTGTTAATAATACTCGTAAAATTTTGAGAAAATATTATTTCATTTATTAATAATCGATGCGCATGCTTGAAGAGATTGATAAATATAGAGGGAGCTAAGGAGGTATGCCAGAATCGTGTTATTAGTTGTTCCATTGTCTCTACTTACCCCATTTAGAGACAGGCGTAACGATATGTATGTACGTGTATGTATATGTAGACCAAACAGAGTTGGTCTAATTTTGTATTGCTCAAAGGCTTGTATTGATCATGTGCTTTTGCCAAAACCAAACTTTTGCACTATTAAAAACTATTGTTAGTTAAATAAAATTATTTTAGCTCATTTACGATAGGCAAGAATAACGCTATATATTGCAATAATTATTTTGTCATAAAATTATAATTATACAAGACACGTATTTTCCGGTAAATAATATAAAAAGTATAATTATACAAGACAAGTATTTTCCGGTTCATAAATGAAACCACAATATTTGTACTTCCAAATTATAAGTAAAAGACATTTTTCATTTATTTGCTTTAATTTTTCCTGTAAGAAATAAAAGTAAGTAATTTGAAAAGCGGGTATTTTTTCCTACTAGTATTTTTACAGAGAATAAAATACGAATTATGACTTTGTAATCTACAATTTACAAAATTACAAAAAAGTTACATTCCACAATAATTGGGATGATGACAGGGTATCAAAATTAAAAATGTATTTAGTCCGTGAGTTAGGTAATGAAATAAATTAGACACGTATTTTTTTAATAAAACAATACTTATATAAAACGAATCAAAGTTTAGGAGCTAAAACGTCAATTCTACGTATAAAATGTACATAGAAGTGACGTCACGCGACATTTCAAATCAATATCGTCGAAAGTATTCGTTTCTGTAAGAAAAGTTTCTCATTTTGACCTGTACGTACCTATGTTTGTGCGCGATTATCTCCGGAATGGCTGAACCGAGTTTGATTATGTTTTCAGAAAAGTGTTCGTTACACTTAAGAGAAGGTTTTATTATATTAATTAACCGACTTCAAAAAAACGAGGGTGTTGAAGTCCTGCTTTTTAACCGTAGTTTAAGAAATGTTCACTCCACATCAAATCGTCACACACATCAATCACATCATTAAAATCCGTAGTAGTAATTTGCAAATCATACAAAGAGTTCTGCCATGTGGAAATCGTACATAGAAACAATATATTGTTTATTACCCAGTCGTTTAACCTTTACACCGCTACTCTACGGTCAAAATTAACAGCCCTGAAATTTTCCGAGTCTAACCTTCAGTTAGTTATCTAATGAAAATAATAATATTACAGTCGAAATACACTTGTACCGTAATAAGGTCGAAATATTACGCTTTGTAATTAACATTTCGCTTAATAGGTCATCATAAAGAATTACCTGCCTACATAGATTTTTACTCAAATTAAATCATATAAAGACTCGGAAACAGAATTAGGTTAATACAATTTGTGTATCGTATTCATTTTAAAGCACAAACATATTTGTGTTACTTGATTGAAAACATAACGCAACACAATGTTAGATTATTTAATTGTTTCGTCAGGTGTAGTTTATTATACAGACCTTGTGGAATCTAGAACAAATTTCCATGCATTTAGGAGTTTTTGCCATACCTGTTATTGGAAACAAGTAGTTATAACAGTTTACACATAGGATCCACTTAGATTTTTTGTCAAATTTCCGTGGTGCTTGGCGACTGGGCTTCTCCCAGTTGTATCTAGTCTCTTTTTTCCTATAGGCTTAATTCATTCTGTCTCCTGCAGTAATTCAGCGAGGTAACTGGAAACTATCGTGTTTTTCTACTTCTCTTATAATATCTTCTGATTTATTTCGTTTCGGGAACCAAGACAGTTACTCATGTCCCTGGGATGCACCGGACATCAGTGTTTCAATATTTTCATGGTTGTATCTACTGTAGATCCTGGCTTACAGGAGTTGCAGCTGTTTTGGGACAATGTGGCGGGCTTGTCCCATTCAAAAAAACACAATGTATGTAGTTCCTCAAACAGATAGGCAGAAAGTATTCTCTTATGTATTTTAGTTTCATCTATTTCCAGTAGTTTACTAAATACAGAGTATAATTCAAGACTTTTGAAATTAAAACACCCAGTGGTATTTCCAACCTATGGTGAAACCAAAATCTCTTTTCATACGACCGTGCTAACGAACACCCTAAAACAAACAGCATAAACACTCGTCATATCAAGTAAACAAAAAAAAATCAATGAATCAGCTAATGTTATTTTTAACATCTACTGTAAAATGAAACCCGTTTTCCGTTGTCACGTCATTACTTGAGAACGATTAGACCGATTTGGCTGATTTTGGAGAAGGTTGTTATGACAAAAAAAAAGTCCTGAAAACCTACGGGAATAAGAGAAACGGGATTGCGCATACGAAGTTGCGGGCAGAAGCTAGTATTATATAGAATATCAATGTCAAATCCAAAAGTTATTTATTATCACTCGCTTAGATCAGTGGTTATGCCATTTCGCTCCTAGGTAAGTCATAACACAGGTCTAATTTATCACGTGATTTGATTCTCTAGTGTACCATAGCTACGAGTTCTGAACCGAATCAACTAATATCAAACACGTGTGACTTTGATTGGAGCCTTACACATCACTAGCAACAATTATGATAGCTTATTCAAGATAAATTGAACCTAATTTCCCAATGGGTTACGTTTAAAATCGTCAATTTTCCTCAATCATACATACAACATAGAAATCTGTAAAGGATTATTTTTATTACTATACTATACTAGGGATGATGAAAGCACATATAACTCGGAAAAAGTCACATTGGTACTTGCCGTTGGTATATTTCGATCCCGTGCCCTCATGCATGAGAAGCGGCCATCGTAAACATGGGGGCCACCATATTAATATCGTGTCAAACTCTTTTCATCCTTATTTACAAGAACAATAAAACAAATTATCCCTTGTTCCAGGTATAACTTCAATAACAACACTAACAGTGATATCGTTCGAGAGGTACATGATGGTGACGAGGCCCCTGAACGCGAATCACCTTAGTTCGAAGGGCGCCATCTTGTCTATCGTGTTCATATGGACATACTCTCTGGCGCTGACTACACCACCGCTCATGGGCTGGGGGCATTATGTCAATGAGGCTGCTAATATAAGGTAAGTTTTTGTGATTATTGTTAGATTGTGTCGTTGAGTTTGGATCTCAGGCGTGGTTCTATGGGAAAATATAAAAAAACTACGAAAATATAAAATAAAAAAAAATGATCTACAGATTGTTGTTCCGGGTCTGGGTGTCATGTGTATGTGAACTTATATGTTTGTAAATGCACCGAGAAAATCTGAGAGTAGGGTAACGTAGGTGTTTTTAGGTAATTCGAAATTCTCAGTGTAGGTCGTAGATGTTGGATTTGATTTAAGCCATCAGCAGAATAAAAATCGATATAAACAGAAGAATAGATACGGTTGTCTATATTGCAATAAAAGGACAAAGTTTTTGATAACAATAGTTCAGACTCCATACTATTACCGCAGTCATCATGCCGTGGAGAACATAAAAGGTTAGCCGGCTCGAAGTGCAGGAGCAGGAACAGGGTGGTTTTTAGTCAGTAAGAGTCTGACACTCCCTCCCCCTCACCCAGGCGGGATAAGGAATTTGATGATTTTCCCCCCTTAAAAAAAAACTATTGCATTATAACGACAACATGCATTTTCATTCAATATTAATCACTATCACTGTTTCAGTAAATCAGGCGTGTTGTAATGTTCTAAGTATTGTGATGGATAACATGTACTTAGCTCCTTGAAGACGAGGAAGTAGGTACAGCTTAAATAATAACATGTAGGTACTTATCTCCTTGAAGATAAGGAAGTACAGCTTAAATAATTAATAGCGTCCTTAATGTTGTCAAAAAGCCTACTAGAGTTAATCCATGTTAGGCCGGACACATTAGTTGCATGCTCGAACTGGGAAGTTAGGAAATAAGTCATGATACTATCTTAATGTGAAACGTAGTTAGAAAGGATCAAGATTTGTTCTGCAAAATGCCAGTGAAATTAGTTTTTTACAGCCAAAATTCTATCTATCTCAATCCATTTTTTATTAATATCGGTTTTTGTTAGAAACCCCATGCAATTAATGTCAAAAATCGATTCAAATTTGATTTTTGATTGAACTAGATTAACTATTAATATCGGCCGGTAGCGGATAGTAAACAAGGCGACTGTTCGTCTGATGGTAAGCGATTAACACTGTATCCATGGCACTGATCTCTATGATAATACTAGAGGTCAGTGATCCATGGAATAGTAAAAACTATAGACTGTGTACACGACTGGCAACACCAGAAACTGAAATCCATTACTGGCCATTTAAAAAAGCATACAATCTACTTGAAGATCCTATTTCATCACCTTAAGGAAATGCTAAAAATTATCGTCACGTTCATCTAGTATTCGAGTAGTTAGCACTAATAAAATTAACATTCATATTTTTTTTCTAAACTTTCACCGAGCCATCTTCCCCAAATACAATTTATCTCTTGTTAAAACTATAGTGATGTTGGATTCTACAACTTTTGCTTTAGAACATTAATATTTCCAATTTATAACCCCTGTTTACGTATAAATAATGTGTAAGTACTGAGATAAAGACTTTAATTTTCTTATCATAGTTTACTTTTTTATTGTACAATTAAAATTAGTTACCAGGTCATGTCTAGTTTCAATAATATCTGGTGGTTTATAGATTTGGTTCCTTGATATAGAATTTTGGCACAAGCTCGATACAAAATGTGTGAAAGTTCTACCTCTGGTATATCTCTTGATAGATAGGATATTGCAACTAGATGTAAAAGGCTAACCTTACAGAAAAAAATAATAACACACGTACTTAGGACTCGTATACAAAACTGCGATGCGACGTCGCATCACAAAAATATGCGAGCTCCCTCTACGCATCGCAAGAACTTGCGAATTGATTCGCATCGCGCATCAAAACCTCGTTTCTCTTTCCTGTATCTCCTAAGCAATAACAAAAGTGCACACTTATTTTAACGATCCATGTCACGACCTAGTTATCAATTTCAAATACGTTTAGTATGGTTGACGGTCGTCGAAGGAATAGTCACCCTAGGAGACACCTTGTGGTACAACATCGTATTGCAGCAATTCGTTTCGTAATGTTCTGCGTTGCGAAATCGCATCGCATCGGATCACAGTTTTGTGTACGAGCCCTTAAACCTATATAAAGTACTCAAACATCACATGCGGGTCTACGAGCTAGATCGATTTAAAAACGGGGTCGTACTCAGTACTCAGTGAAATTACAACCAACTTGGGTGCCAACACACGAAACAGCCGTATCGTATCTGACACTACTCGTACGGAATATAAATGATTTTTTATTTCCCCGCGGTGTAATTAAAATCAAATTATTCTGGAACCTGTTTTTGTCGTTTTTACCAAATATTTGCCTGAAAAATGTTTCCTAAAAATCCTTTTAGAGCTTGAAGCTCGTGTTTAGATGAGAATATTTAATGTCTGTTTAGATTAAACAGTCAAATTGGATAGAAGGGTTTCAAGTATACACTTACCTGTCGAAACCTACCGTTGTTGCTGGAGTATTTTGTTTAAATGTTATTATTCTATCAGCTGTTACCCGTGTCTTGATTAGTGTATTTATGTTATTGTATTTCACGATAAAAATTGTTTGTTTAACAAGGTGACTAAAAATATTACAAACTAGCTGTTGCCCGCGACTTTGTCTGCATAGAAAATGAATTTAAGAACATAACTGTTTGTTTTGTTTAAATTTTCCAAAATAAAAGTAATCAATAAAAGTCTTGCTAAATTGGTCCCGCCAAAATGTAAGGCACGCTGGCTTTTGTGACTTTATGCTCAGCAAAATCGGTCATCCAGATTAGACAGGCAGACAGATATAAATTGTAACAAATGTTATTTTGGTATATATGTCGTAGGATAATTTGATATTTCGAATCTTCGCGGAAATCCTAGGGGTTTTGCGAAAACGCGGATAATTAGACATAGGCGAAAAATTATCAAATCTTACTGGACAAAGTCAGGATTTTTGCGAAAATACTCGTTACTATAGTAAGATTTGATGTGCTCAACACTGATTGGCTACAATTTTGGTGGCTGGCTTCTAATTGGTTCCTAGTTTAGGTGAGAAAGAAAAATTGATTTTTATAAACCTTTTATTGAAAATTTTAGTATGTATGTTGTTTTCTACAGACAATAGGAGATCTCAGTCGTTGTAAAAAAAAAATGATCCAATTTTAGGGTGTAATCCATAAATTGGATGAACTGGTCGTTTAAGACGACGAAAAAACATTTAAGACGTCAACCAATCAGAGACGATCTCTTATTGAACGCGCTGACCGACCAACCAGCGTTCTTATTTCATAACAGCCAGCGTTTCGTTTCGCAATCTTACTATAGTAACGAGTATTTTCGCAAAAATCCTGACTTTGTCCAGTAAGATTTGATAATTTTTCGCCTATGTCTAATTATCCGCGTTTTCGCAAAACCCCTAGGATTTCCGCGAAGATTCGAAATATCAAATTATCCTACGACATATATATCCATATGCATGTAGTAAAAAGCGGCAATTTTGATATTACAAACATACACCAATTTCATGTATCTGTATACATTTATAGATAGATGATGCAACACGTCATGCCATTTTCGAAGATGACATGCTACGTGTTTCTATGTAGATAAGCTCTTTGGAGGCTTGAGTACTAGACCTGTACAGAGTAACTGACGAAGAGCTCAAGAACTAGCCAACGGTATAATCCCAAAAGGGTTTAGACTGTATTCAAGTGCTCTAGAGCTATGCGTGAACAAAGTGTACAAAGGAGTTAAAGGAATGTCGGGCACTTGAACAATTTGTTGCCATGGAAATTATTGTAGTGCTGCAAATGTTACTACTATAAGTACCAATATCAAGCAGACAATTCTAATGAACACCTGTTCTAATTCATAAAATATGTGGTTTTATACTTCTTATTAAACATAATATAATATCACGCCTTCTATCCCCGAAAGCCTAAGTAGAGGTGCACATTACGGCATTTAATGCCTCTGTACAATGTAACACCTACTATTTATGTTTTATGAATCCCATGTAATAGGGGGTGAGCCATATACTGCGACCATTTTCAGACTCCGTGCTACTACTAAGAATTGTATTCTTGTTAGTTATTATTATGTACTCATGTTCAACCTTTGATAGATCGTCCATATTGTAGTGTTAATACTGAAATTCCATAAACAACACACCTCAAGCACGTTATTTTTTTTATTTTTTTATGGCATAAGCCGGTAAACGAGCAGACGGATCACCTGATGGTAAGCAATCGGCATCGCCTATGGACACTTGGAAATCCAGAGGCGTTACAAGTGCGTTACCGGCTTTTTGGGGATTAGAAGTTTGAGGATCGTTGGTGATTTAGGGATTGGGGAGATTGGGGAAGGGGAAGGTAATTGGGCCTCCGGTAACCTCACTCACACGACGAAACACAACGCAAGCATTGCTTCACGTCGGTTTTCTGTGAGGCCTTGGTATCACTCCGGTCGAGCCGGCCCATTCGTGCCGAAGCATGGCTCTCCCACACTTAAAAATGGTTATAAGCCCTTATGTATCACTTTGATTGAAATCTGTTTTATTTTTCATCCCAATTCTAATTTCACGAACAAATTGAGGAACTCAAATTCAACCGATAACCCCAAGGCACTTCACTGAACATTATCTTGTACTAGGTGGCCTTTAACGCAATTATTTCACTGCATCTGACATTTCCGTGTCAAGAAGATTGACAACCACGAATCGACAAACATGCTACTGACATCGACGAATTGAAAAGGGCGCGATAATTTTATCTACGGCAGTTTGGCTTGCTTGTAAATGGAGATGATAACAGAGTATGAAAATTAAAAATATAATTAGTCCGTAAGAAAAGGTAATTTAAAAATATTAGACACGTACCTATTTTTTTATTTTGTCGTATAATAAAACAATACTTAGATAAAACGAATCAAAGTTTAGGAGTGGGGGCTAAAACGTCCTTTCTACGTATAAAATGTACATAGAAGTGACGTCACGCGACATTTCAAATCAGTATATCTTCGAAACTATTCGTTTCCGTAAAAAAATAAAAAATACGTATGTATCTAATGTTTTTAAATAATCTACCAGACGGACATTAAAATAAAATTCGTCGCCTACCCTATTCTCGTAAATGTATTTATTACTGTATTCTTTAACACTTTCATTCTCATTAGTGTAGGAACAAACATAGAACAAAAAAAATGCAATCATTCATGCGCCCATACAAAATTGTTATATCCTGCACGGTCCGTTCGTTTATGGTTTTTGCCATAACGAAATACGTATTTGTGACCTCTTACTTATGGTCTATTATATTATCCATGAAGGATTTTAATCCACTCTGGGTTTTTTGGGCATTCTCGTTTTGGAGTAGATATCTTCAAAGATTTGTTAAGACAACGTTAAGTTTGCATGACCATGGTATAAATGCTAAAACCTTTTTTTATAATGATTTTAATTTTTGTTTTAGCATTTTGAGCTGTGGAATTTTTATATCCGTACTTGTTTCTTCATGTTTGTATCTCAAAAGTCTAATATATCTTTGCTAAAAAAATTCCAACCTGCTGAAATCATGGCAAACCATCTTATAAAGAAGTAGGTGATTAGGATCATTGTCTTTATTTTAAGGGGGGAAAATCATCGAATGGCTTCTCCCGGCTAGGTTAGGCGGGAGGGAGTGTCAGACTCTTACTGACTAAAAACCGCTCTATTACTTCTCCTGCACTTCGAGCCGGAGCCCCGGTAACCCGTTAAGTTTTCCGCGACAGGATCATTGTCTAGCAGTGGACAATTGCGTATTGTCGATAAGATTATATTTACCAAAACAATATCAGCTTATTTGACCAAATTAAATGTTATAAATTGTAATAGATCAAGATAAAACCTTTTAGCTGCAAGTAGGTGCCTTAATACCTATTATGGTGCTAGACTGAAGCCATGGCCTGTCAGAGTACAGTCTACGTGTTTGGCATCCAATTACTCGCTAAGCTCCAATCTATGGGCGTTGCCTAATTCTAATCGACTAAGTTACTATCACCTAGGCCGATCTATTTGTTCAGACGGACTAAGTTTCATGTTTATATGTATTGAAGTTGCTAAATCTTCTGTTACACCTCTTTGAGGGATGTATTTGATGAAATGTATATTCTTCTGAGATAGAGGTAAATTGGAATTGTAATAAAATCATCAAATTGGATTTAAACTACACTGTGTCTTTAATCATTTAGATTTTCTCATTCTCTGCTACACAAACTGCACATATATTTCTAGTAAAATGGGTTTATTGTATCACTGTGTCTATTGCCCTTTTTTTATAACAACAAACATTATTATTGTTGTATAAACTTTACTATACTTTAAATTACGCTCGTCTCTATCATTTGCTCAAAAACCATACAAACTTCTTTGATGTATCAATGAAGCTCATTGCTCAGTTGATATGTTCCTAATTAAATTAACTTTCTTAAAACTGTTCTTTTTTTTCTTCGACAGTTGTTCAGTGAACTGGCACGAGCAGTCTATGAATACCCTCACCTACATCATGTTCCTGTTCGCTATGGGGGAGATAGTCCCTCTGGCTGTCATCACGTTCAGCTACGTCAACATCATCAGGACGCTAAAGAGGGTAAGTTTGGTTTTTTTCTTTCATTCTTTCTTTCTATTTACGTATAGCTTTCTATATATGTCTACTAGTTATGCATGGTTCTTTGAGATTTAGTTTAATTCAAGGTTTTGTATTTGAAAGAGTATGTATTTTTTTTATCTGAGTTTCAAAATCGTATACCTATATTTTAGGATTATAATCTGTGTTCCCATCCGAATAAGAGACTACAAAGAGGCAAGAATGTTGTGTTTCAACCTATTTATGATTAACTACCTTGTTATATTTCATCAAAGAAAATTATCATAGACCTTTTTCTATTAAATCAAAAATGGGACAAAGAATGTTTTGCTACACATAAGAGCATTTATTACGATTATGATTTAGTAAGGCTCCCTAATAGGGTTAATCCTATACACAAAGAAAATATTTGGAAAGCTTCACTATCTGAAGGATTCTACGAAATTATCTAGTTCGTACAACATCATATCGTTCATACTAGTGTTTGTCCAGTGTAGGCGTTCGATAAACGTACGCGCCGTCGGGGAGAACCTAACGGGTAACCAGGGCTCCGGCTCGACGTGCAGGAGAAGGAACGGGGTGGTTTTTAGTCAGTAAGAGTCTGACACTCCCTTCCGCCTCAGCCAGGCGGGAGCAGTCATTCGATGATTTTCCCCCCTTAAAAAAAAAAAAACGTACGCGCCGTGAAGACACCGCGCTGATTTCGCATTGTGGCAGCGTCAGTGCAACGCGGCGTAGTGCGTAGTACGTTAAACAAACGTTAGTGTGACGGCGATTTTAGAAATATCTTCATACTAACTTTCATACTAGGGCTTTAAAGAACAAATTAATTTCGTGGAATATTTTTTTTATGGCATACGTTAGCCCGTTATCTAGCAGACGGATCATCTGATGGTAAACAATCGGCGTCGCCCATGGACACCTAGAACAACAGAGGCGTTACAAGTGCGGTAACCTCACTCACACGACGAAACACAACGCAAGCGTTGTTTCACGTCCATGCCCATGGGCGACGCCGATTGCTTACCATCAGGTGATCCGTCTGCTCGTTTACCGGCTAATGCCATAAAAAAGAACAAAAAAATACATAAGTATTTTTCGATCAATCAAATTTTGCAAAAGCCTTTAAGAAATCCATTGTCCTAAAACAACGTACCTTTCTTGGCGATCAAATACATTATATTATTTTTGTTCTTTTATCTTTTAGATCTTTGACAAACGATAGTCCTTCACAATTTAATATATTCAATTTGACTACACAATATACGGATGCAGCATCTCCTTGAATATTGGAAATATGAAATGTTTATTTTGCGAGAAATGTCTTTAAGATATGGAAACTAGTTTATGTAAATGTTGCAGGCATCTTGAATGGTAGCTTTTCTATAGAAATGTTTGCTCGTTGCCTTAGGCACGGAAAGCAATATTTATGGCTGTATTTGAAAGGGTTGCTAGTAATCTTCATTTTAATGATCTTGAGTCCACACAGTCTTGAAATGGATCTAATAGAATGAATAGAACTTATAAAATATCTTGCATAGCCATAGATTAGATTAGATTTATTATCAAAGTTGAAGATTTTGTTGACTAAATAGGATATTTTTTATATATTTCAATTAAGTATAACAAGCTCACACATAGGGCCCACTTAGTTTTTAGTCAAAATTCTGTGGTACTTGGTGCAGTCACCACTGGGTATAGCCCAGTGGCTTCTCCCAATTGTGCAGTTTCTTTTAGTGACTTTTGGCTTAATTCATTCTGCCTCCTGCAGTAATTTACCGAGGGAACTGGAAGCTATCGTTGTTTTCTACTCCTCTTATAATATCTTCTGATTTATTTCGTTGTGGTAACCAAAAGAGTGATTCATGTCCCTGAAATGCGATGAAAGGAATAAGCAGCCTAAAAATGAGCAACAGTTCCACAAATTTATATGTCATTTGTAAAGTATTAAGTACTATTGAGTTTCTTTCAAAATAGTCCAGAAAAGCGTCTTTGACGAGTCTAGACAAGGCCGTCGACCTCCACCGACTGATATAGGCCTACGCAACAACGTGTTTTCCTTAAAATCTCTTACTGTCTCAAGTTGTCATACAGACACTTCAAGTGCAGATACTTTTTTTATATAAATATCCTTCTAACTTCGTGAGATGAAATGAATTTAAAAATAAATACATGAATCGAGTGACGACAAATATGCAGGCAAGATGAAAACGCTTTGTATTTACTATACAAATTATTATTGAGTATTTCGGTACTAGAAGTTTTAAAAATCCAACAATATAAGAGTAAACTAGCTGTAGTCGCAATTTCGCCCGCGTAGAATATGATTCCTGTTTTATCCCATGCGAGCATTTAATCGGGATTAAAATCCTATCAGCTAAGTCAACCCATACCCTGCTTGTATATCAAATTTCATCGATATCCGTTCAGTAGTTTCAGCGTGATTGACGGACAAACATCCAAACAAAGAAACTTTTACATTTATAGGTAATATTAATGTGATTATGCAATTATATGAGTCTGTTCTTCTAGAGTGCTTCTCTTTTCACACAATATATGCAAGAATAAACACTATAGGTTAAGTAAGCGCGGGCCTGCGGACGGCGAGCATGGGTGGCTCCCCGTCCGACCAGAAACAGACCCGAGCGTACGGCGCCGAGCGTTCCACGCGCGCTTCAAAGAGCCATCAGACCACCACGGATGGGGCCCAACAGGGCTGATACCGATTCGGAGTCGCGAAGAACCTAACGGGTTACCGGGACTCCGGCTCGACGTCCCGGAAAAGGAACGGAGTGGTTTTTAGTCAGTAAGAGCCTGACGTCCCCTCCCGCCTCACCCAGGCCCCCCTTAAAAAAAATAGTTTAAGTAATACAATCAACGCGAACGAGGCTCAGGACCGAAGTTTTCCCCATTTACGCTTAACTTGCCGTCGAATTCAGCTTGTCTATAATTTGAATTCGATTATCGTTTTAATATATTCTTTCAATATTCCATTTTATTTCTCGATCTCATTTCATTTGTTGAGATAGGCAATTTTCGCTTGACAACAACTATTCAAAAGAATTTTCCCAATCTATGTGACTTGGGAACTTTTTAAACTTTTGTCAAAGAAATAAAGTTATACATAAATTTTACATAAGTATTTTATCAATTCGGAGTAGGTACTGATTTCGTATTCATTTTTGTCAAAAGTAAATTGGTATTATTTTGAACATAATATGATATTACGGCTTTACTTGTATTCAATGGTGTAGCACACGCAATTTCCACCAATAACTTTATTAGATCCAGTTAAAAGAGCCAATCTGTGGCCGGTCACAATTCTAAATCGGTGTTATTACTGAGAATTAAATATACATACATCACGCCTTTTATCCCTGAAGGGGTAGGCAGAGGTGCACACAGAAGTGACACCCACTTTTCACTATTTATGTTATGAATCCCATGTAATAGGGGGTGAGCCTATTGCTATATACCTACCTGTTTTTTCGTTTTTTCATTTTCTTTTAATATTGTGCTTTTCAATATCAGAGGAAAAGAGTAATAGAAAAATGAATAGTTTTCTATTACTCAAAATACATAGTAAAATGAACACAAAGATATCAAACGCTACTCATATTCTATTACCCTAAGGACCCCAAAGAAGATATTTTGAAAAGGACAATTTAGTAAATTACGCTCGCAATACGCGTACCTTGACAAGTAATTACAAAAAGTAATATAATTACATCTCTTAATGAATGTTAAGTAATTTTGAGGAAGTATGAAATGTCGTTTATGTTAATAATTAGTATAATTTCTGCGGCCTTTAGCCCTATTTTGATGGCAATGAAGATATTTTACAAGGCGGATTGTAGGGCAAAAATGCTAGCTTATTTTCGTAATATGACATCAAGATTATTTTCCTCTGAAAAGATTTGTACCTACTTATCATCATCATCATCAACAGCCTAATGCCCACTGCTGAGCAAAGCCTCTTCTCACACGGATAAGGTTTGAGCACTAAACGCTTGCTGAATGCGGGTTGGCGATTACAAACTTATAATTAGAAATTATAAGCCCAGGCTTCCTCACGATGTTTTCCTTCACCGTTTGTCTAAATAATCTTAGAAAGTACATATAACTTGGAAAAAGTCACATTGGTACTTGCTGTTGTTAGGTTTCGAACCCTCATGCATGAGAAGCGGGTGTCTTAAACCTCCGGGCCACCACGACATAGCCTACCTAATTCCTTATTTATAGGTACGCCTTAAGCCTTCATATCTTAGGCTAATAGAAATCATCAAACACAGTTCTTTTTGTATATTTGATGGGCCGACGTTTGACCACTATCTCGCCTGGTGGTAAGCGATGATGCGGTCTACGATGGAGCACGTCGTCCCATAAGCAACCTATTCACGCGGGCCTTGAAGACACCCAGTTCTAAATGTATTGTTACTGAATAGAAATTAGATATGTGTATTTAGTGTGTTTCTATCAAAATCTATCTTTAATAAGCTTTACTGATATATGAACGTAATCGATAGAATTATCAATATTTTTTTTTCTAGAAACTTAAAATATTTGGTTAAATTGTTTTTTTCTTTGTTACAGAATTCACAGCGGCTGGGTCGCGTGTCCCGAGCAGAGACAAAAGCCACAGCCATGGTGTTCATCATGATCGTGTCCTTCACCGTTGCGTGGACACCCTATTCCGTCTTCGCTTTGTTAGAACAATTTGCTACTGAAGGGATAGTAAGTAAATTGTTTCTTTTATTTTTTATTGTATTACAGCCCTCGCCATCTTGGATCGTCCATCATTTCGAAATAAAATTGCTTGTTATGTAGGTATTGTATTTTCGTATAAACCTATATGACTATGTATCCAATTATCTACATAATTTTTCCTAAAGATCAAAAACAAATTAAAATAATTTATTTGCAAACACATGTGTATACCTACAATAGTATACATACACATACACAGATGCATGTAGGTACATATATAAGATGAACAATATAAAGTTGCACTTAATACATGTTTGCCACTCGTCATGGCATGCAAATTTCAAGTTACACCAATAAACTTTTATCAAAGATAAATTAGTATTTGTACCCTTTTAGCATAGGCATGTTGTCAGCGTCTCTTTTCTAATTCTTCTGTTTCAATTTTTCAACTCTTATATTTTTATTACTTCCACTGTCACATCTTGATTGTCTTTTTTATATTTTATTTATGCTGCATCGTGCCTGGTGCTAAATAAATGATTTTTTCTTTATTTCTTTCTTTCTAAAGGATGCCCAGTTGTCGTTCGACGTAGAAAACTGACGCCTTTATCCAGCAGTAGACGTTTTCCGACTTTAAATGATAATGATGATGAAGAATGCCCATAGTATTGAACACTATAGGTTCGAGGCGTAACGCTGCAGCACTGAACTCAATCATTTTTCTTTACATTTCATCTATAAATTAATGATTATGTTTTTCGGCTTGCTCACGTAATAATTTGACGAGTAACTCGACTAGTTTCAAGCCATGCTATAAGCTCTTATTCATGAGCAGCATTCCGCGACCTGCGACGCGGCAACTATCGAGCTGCTACTGTCTACTCGAGTCAGGTGATAATATAAATTCGTCTATAACATTAAAATATTTCCATTTAATGTTATGAATCAATAGTCCACTGATAATAATGTAGACAGATTTCAAAACTGAATCAGTCAAACTGATCGAGATGGAATTGATATTAGATTCTAATCGGTTCATTGAATAAAACATTAATCTGTACCTTAATATATTTTAGGCATGTATGAAATATTAGGTTTACTTGTCATAGAAACTCGGACAATTAATATTCTGTCAATGTAATTGATATATGGGAATGTTTAACATCATTTATATAAATGATGCTAGCTCCTGTCAGCAACTTTACTCGCAATCCCGTGGAATAAAAATTATCCAATGTGTTACAGATTATTTAGGTACCCCCTTTTTTGGGAAAGGTGGGAAATTCTCATATAGCCCCCTCGCCGGGGGAGGACGAAAGGGACTGTCAGACTTTTACTGACTAAAATCCACCCCGGTACAAAGCTGTCATAGGTAATCTACCCCAGTTCCAAATTTCACTCCGATCCCTTTAGCCCGCTTTTATGGCATAAGCCGGTAAACGAGCAGGTGGATCACCTGATGGTAAGCAATCGGCGTCGCCCATGGACACCTGGAACACCAGAGGCGTTACAAGTGCGTTACCAGCCTTTTGGGGATTAGGAGTTTGAGGATCGTTTGACATGAAAAAGGTACAACAAACACATAAACTTTCAGATTTATAATATTAGTATGATTACTATTATACCCTTAATTAACCCTCTGTCGCGGAGAACCTAACGACATATCCTGGCAAAACAACTTAAGCTTGTAGAATACGTGCCGATTCGAAGTCGCGGAGAACCTAACGGGTAACCGGGGCTCCGGCTCGACGTGCAGGAGAAGGAACGGGGTGGTTTTTAATCAGTAAGAGTCTGACACTCCCTCCCGCCTCACCCAGGCGGGAGCAGTCATTCGATGATTTTCCCCCCTTAAAAAAAACCCTTAACCCTCTAATTTACCTACGTACTCACACACATACCTTTAAATAAAGTGCTGCAGTTGCAAAAATTCTATCGCCAGCATAATCCATTTACCTTAATTGGAGTTCCATTAGATGAATTTTACTTTTTATTGAGCTTTTGAACACATTTTATATGTGCTAAAATTTGAATAAATTTTTGTTGCAGTTCAAAAAATCTTTAGATAAAATTTTGTGTTGACAGCATTCGGGATTTTATTTAATTTGGGCTTCTATGATAATATAGAAAAGCCTTATTTAGTATTATAGATAGTTATTAGTTTATTATGAAAATCAGACTAATAGCCAAGTTTCGTATTCAAATTCCTCATCCACCAAGCCACTGATTTTATTATGAAGATTATCAACAGTCAGATCTTCAGATCGTGAAATTATCCTCTGCATGAACAAAGTTTTATTTATTTTTTTTATTTATTTTTAAACTATTCACATACTACTATCATTACAGGAACTAATACCATATGCAAAAGCGTATGCTAATATATATATGATAGAATTAAATTACAAAGTCTCTACAACAATTAGGTACTACAACATTCATTATTATGGTAACAATCATATTTCTTAAGCTAATTCACAGATAGGTACAGGCACAAGCTCTCCTGAATTCGTTCAGTGTACAAATAAGTAATAGCTTATCCTTAAATGGATCATAACTTAAGAAAAGCGTATATACGGTAGAATTGAGAACCTCCTCCTTTTTTTGAAGTCGGTTAAAAAGTGTCATAAAGTTATCCACATGTCAAAAGTCAATACAAAAAATTTCGTGCCTAGGCTTTATCTAAGAAGTCGGTCTGAAAATTTTTAACACAAGTCATAAGGCGTAAAATTAATATATTGCTCGACGTAACGACTTCAATTTGCTCGATATATTGCGAAAGAAAAAAGTCTTTTTGATTATTACATTTATGTTAGTCGATTATTGACTGCTTTTCTTTTCTTTATTTTCCTTCAAATAATCCATAGTAGGATTATTTTTTTACAACATTGATTGATGGAAATAGTCGAGTTTCTCGTGTATATGTAAACCGATAATATAATAATTAACAACATTCCTTGTTGTAAAAACACATTATTTCAACATGATTGTTGTATGGTTACAAGGTTTACTGTTACATTGGGGGATTAATCTGTCAAACACCAAGCGGTCACCGGTGACCGCGACCTATTGTTCTTTAATTGTGTCTATAAAACCGGTACTCGACGAGTTAATAATTAATACTGCCTCATTGGCCGAGTAGTCGCAAGTGCGACTGCCAGGCAAGGAGTCTCGGGTTCGATTCCCGGGTAGGGCAACGTATTTCTGGGGTATTCAATTCAAAAAAATCTCAGTAGTAGCACGGAGTCTGGAATTGTGCCCGGTATATGGCAATAGGCTCACCCCCTCTATTACATGCGACTCATAACAAATAGTGAAAAGTGGGTGTTACATTGTACATTTGTATAATGTACACCTCTGCCTACCCCTTCGGGGATAAAAGGCGTGATGTTATGTATATTTGATGTTGTAATAATTAATACTCAGATTTATTTTACTTGGATTTATTATAATAATGTGCAGAGCGCACTACGTGTACACACACCAGAGTATGACTGACAGACAGCGCGCTCCGTACCGTCTGTTGATCTTTAATACTACAATGGAGTGAGGGGACCATACCTTACAATAGTAGTGATGTTAATACATACATGTAAGGTTTAGAATGGAAATATCTATCTTTCGTCCATCAGATAACAATGATTAGGTCCAGTGTTAAATGGGGTGAGCATTACACCTAACATCATCATCAGTCCCCTGACGGAATACTGCTGTACTATCTGCTATCTCCACAAGACCCTCTCAGAACGCTTTCTTTTTTTAAGAGACAAAATCATCCAGTGGTTTTCCCGTCTTAGGTGAGGCAAAAGGGAGTGTCAGACACTTACTGACTAGAAACCATCCCGTTCCTACTTCTGCTCTTCGAGTCGGAGTCCGGCAACCCGTTAAGTCTTCCACGGCTATCTCTCAGAACGCTGCTGCACAGTCCTTTCACTAGCTCATACGACATGCTTGTAACTAGAGTTAGTGACACATGAATGTATCCTACTTTATCCTCACTGCGAAGTATCAAATCATCATCATCAGCATCATTAGCCCGTGTTCGTCCATTTCTGGACATAGGCCTCTCCAATGGCACGCCACTGAGCTCCGTGTTCAGTTCTTCTCATCCAATTACCGCTAGTCACCTTGCAGATGTCGTCACTTCACTTAGCTGGAGGGCGTCCTGCCTCGAATACCTATCAGACCACCACGGATGTGGCCCAATAGAGCTGATGGCGATACAGAGTTGCGGTGGACTTAACGGGTTACCGGGGCTGCAGATCGAAGCGCAAAAATAGGAAAGGGGTGGTTTTTAGTCAGTAAGACACTCCCTCCCGCCTCACCCAGGTGGGAGAAGTCATTCGATGATTTACCGCCCTTATAAAAAAAGGTCTATATATATATATATATATATACTATGTATGCCTAGACGCGGTCTCCGCTCTAGAATACGTTTATCCATTTACACGTTTACATATAACACCTAAGCGTCGAATTACAGTTGTGAAATCTAACCTCAGTTCCAAAGACATAATGATTTAATTTCTTCCGTACAAGGTTACACACGTACGGTTCATTGACCTTACAATCTTCCTCTCCTCTTCCTGTTACTTCAAGCGACAAATATGTCCTTACGATTTCCCGAGAAATTTTCCGTCTCTTTAATACCATAATTATTTCTTAATGTGACCCTTGATATGCCATTGTTACATATATAGTACCTACCTTTGTATGTACGATATGACACCTTTATATTCGGTAGGGGATCAAAGTGTTCGTATGTCAAGTGAACTCGCTTTTAGTCAGCTATTTTTATGATTAATACTCATTATTATATAATGACGTCATGCCTTTTGAGGGCCCTGCGAGTAGAGGTAGACATTGACAATGTAACACTAAATTTGTTATGACCCCATGTCTGGAGAGTCTATTGCTATACACCGTGAAATCTATTTCGTTTTCGTCCCGAAGTATGATAGGTATGTACGTCTTGATAATACAATAGTTTCCCTAAAACAAAAAATAACTGGTAAAACATTGTAAAAAGCAAACTTCGAAACGATAACTTATGAAATCGATACTGTAAATCGTCGTTATTTTGTTCTTGTAAATATGTATTCTTTACTAGTAAGATTTGTCTAGATATTTCTATTTGGGGTCGCCATATTTAACATTGCTATTATTTTTATTCTTACTTTTTGATTAAGTAGTAAGTTAACTTACATAATAAACAATAGGTATTCCAATTTCTATTAACCTTACGACAGATAATATTCAAAACAATAGAAATTCAAATCTTCCCTATTTGTAATTTGAACGCAAATTATTTTTTATGAACAGGAAAAAGGAAAATACTTCTCTAATTCATAAAAATCAAAAGCAATTTGATGCTATAAAGTCTAATGTACTTGGAAGTCGAAAAAGCGCCTATTGGTTTGTTTATATTTGTAATTTTTTCTATTCAACTCCTAACATATTGTACGAATAAGTAGGTATTTGTGCCGTGGTACATACTAACAACATGCTTTCTTTAGTCGATAAACGAAGTTAACTTAAATATCTATTCCCTAACTCCACTTACCGTACAACGTATTTTAGACAAATGGCAGAAATCAAACGCTGGTCGAATCAAGTTGGCAGAAAAATCGATTTAAGCTAATTTGATGTTTTTTTATCAGTTGCCAATTTTAATAAACCATAGCTTTAATATCTGTGTTCTCAAACAAGTTTACAAGTTTATTACAGAATACTTACTATGCCTTTGTAATAAAACATAAAATCTATGAATGAAATTCTGTCTCGGGTTCGATTCCCGGGTCGGGCAAAGTATTACTGGGTTTTTAAAAATTCTCAGTTGTAGCACGGAATTGTGCCCGGTATATGGCAATAGGCTCACCCTCTATTACATGGGACTCATAACATAAATAGTGAAAAGTGGGTGTTACATTGTACAGTGGCATAATGTGCCTATCCTTTCGGGGATAAAAGGCGAGATGTGATGTTATGTTTGAAATTAGTGTTCGACTCAGCGACCAATACATGTCATTTTTATTATATAGACTCTTTACACAGCATTCGCGCTTACAACCTCTCAACTGATGAAGCAGTCTTCATACCAATTTTATTTTCAAACGACTCATAATACCCAAATCTGATTAAAAAGATCTTCTGTCTAATAAAGTACAATCTGACACAATGTAAATCCTGGTTCATCCTCACACATTCTATTGAAATTCCCAAAATTCTTCCTTTGCATTCCCTTATAATACCTTTTGTATTTAATTCACATTGTTGATCCCAAAATAAGAGGTACACATCAAGCTATTCAAACCAGCATAAGCTGACCACTGTATACGCAAGAGAATCATACAAAGTGAGCCTGGGATAAACTGGTTTTTATATCTTCATGAGTGTATACTGAATAAACTCTAATACAACGTATATTCAATACAGTCTGGTCTTTTGTTTGATATTTTTACATTATATCTGATTTCTCATTTTCGCTGTTCTCGTTTTTGTTTCTTTGTTTTTTTGCTAATGGACAATAGTAGCTTAATATTAGGAATTTATAAAATGACAAAGCAAATGTAAAATACAAAGATGTACCTATTAAATTGGTTCATTGAGTCTATTAACTGAAATTACTGGGATCAGTGAGCTGCGCGACGTCGCCACGACCGCGCACGCTGCTCATGAGGAAGAACCCCTCTGTGGTTCGAAACTAGTAGCGCTTTTCTTAGTATATTCACGTGAGTAACCCGCGTTTTTAGTTAATTAAGTATGACTTACGATAGTTTTCATAGACTCTATTCAAGATCTACATAAACCAATAATTATCTAGTATTTTTTATGGGATAAGCCGATAAAGCCGTAAGGGATAATAAACCAGTAGACAGTTCACCTGATGGTGAGCAATTGGTGTCGCCAATGGACATCTGAAACACAAGAGGCGTTACAAGTCCGTTACCGGCCTTTTAATTAGGAATTTGAGGATTGTTGGGATTGGGGAGATCGGAGAAAGGGAAAGGTATTATTAGGCCTCCGGTATACTTTTAGCGCATAGCGTTAATCCTCCACATTTACAGTACTGTAAGGTACCAGTCAATTCAGTGACGATTTTCATTCCTAATCTGTGAAGGTAGAAAAAGCTCAGCCTTATCGCAAACTCACAGAAATTGGGCTTATAGAACAAAGCCAATAAACACCCTTATGAGTAAAACAGGATTGGACAAAGAAGGTTAACCCACAAAATGAACAATTTCATTTATTTGTAGGTAACCTAATACATCGTAGTTTTTGTATCGCAGTTTTTGTACTATGTTTATTTATTTAGTTTGGGGTCTACAGTGTATTATATTATGCAACATAGGTTCAAGTATGTGTCGCGGAGAACCTAACGGGTAACCGGGGCTCCGGCTCGACGTGCAGGAGAAGGAACGGGGTGGTTTTTAGTTAGTAAGAGTCTGACACTCCCTTCCGCCTCACCCAGGCGGGAGCAGTCATTCGATGATTTTCCCCCCTTAAAAAAAAAAAAAAAAAAGGTTCAAGTATGTGTGTATTCTTACTTAGTGAAACTTATATTTTTGTAAATTAACTTCTTAATCCCCGATTAGGAAGATCCACAACATTTGTTCATACAAAAGTAGTCTTTAAAGATCGGAAATAAGGTCTTTAATGTAGAAAGTGGAGAGCGGTTGCCGGTGACCGCTTGGAGACTGGGGAATTAATTGCAAACTTCAACATTGAATATTCGGAAATGTACTAATTACCTCACATAAAAAACATCATCATAAACATTTCAGAAGAAGAAATCGATGTGTCAAGGGCTGCTTGCAAAGCAGATATTCTTAAGTTTTTACTTATTGCTACCATGGACTTATCTTAGTTTTTTTATTATTGTTAGCTATGGTCGTCCCACTGAACGGAAAAGGCCTACGGTAGAGACCCTCCTTCCACTCGTCTCTTCGTAGAGCTTTCTGTGCCTTCTGTGGCCAATCTTATTGATAGGCGTCAAGATCATCCCGCCATCTCTATTTGGGCCTACCGCGACGTCATCGTCGATGTTTATATAATTAATTGAATAGTTTTAAATTCTCAAGGACTTCTAGTTTTAAAGATTATGTCACAAAATAATACCAAGAAAATATTGATATTTTATTATAAAATGATAATTAATTTATTCGCCCGAGATACGTTCTTCAGCCACCGTAAGCACTGGCCTGCGGACGCCGAGCATGGGTAGCCCGCCGCCCGACTAGAACCAGACCCGAGCGTACGGCGCGTCGCGTTCCGCGCGCTCCTCAAAGAGCCAACAGACCACCCCGCATGGGGCCCAATAGGGCTAATGCCGATACGGAGCCGCGGAGGACTTAACGAGATTTTTACAAAAGTTATTAATTTGAGTTTAATCAGAAGAATGAAATCGAGACCACGTTCGACGCTCTGATTAGCCTACTCTAATGAACCAAACCTCGATCTTGTTAACGTAACTGCCTCATCCTAAACCCTCAGAAAGTACTAACATTATCTTTTACGTTTTACTCCAATTGTTACGAAGCTATATAATGTAATGTTTTTGTACCTTCGTCTGTCTAAGGACGTCACTCAAAGGTTGACTGGCAGAAAACGCCTCAGGCGTTCAGCCTGGCACATACAAAAGTTACAAAAAGAATTTTCTACAATATAAGTATGTGCCAGACGACTGATAAAATAATGTTTTACTATTTATTGAATTTGTAGACGAATCTAAGATGACAAAGACATACAGTAATATGTTTAAATACTTTGTATTTTTAATTCCAATTTTTCTTTACAGGTGTCACCGGGAGCTGGCGTAATACCAGCGTTAGTTGCAAAAAGTTCCATTTGCTACGATCCTCTTATATACGTCGGTATGAATACTCAAGTAAGTTATAACCCTAGAGCTTGTTAAAATTTATTCAAATATAAATTATTCTTATTCGTTTATTCTTTTTTCAGTTCCGGAACTCAATAAAGAGGGTTTTCGGAGTCCATTCTAAAGGCAAGAACTCACATGCGGAAAAAGCTTACAACAACACACTGACGTCACCAGCCAATAAACTATCGAGCGTGAACACTCGACTTAATTGCTCAGAAACAAATTTATCAAGTCACCACAAAAATTCCAAGGGCAAAAAAATTATGTTCAATGATGATATATCAGAGATGACTACCAACGAATACCACCGAACTTTCACGAGGGATCCCGATCTCTGTACTATACCAGAAAGCAAGAATTCCGATGCTGAACGATCTGGAGACACAATATACGATGAAGATAGTAGTAATACGGGTACTAATGTCAAAAAGCTGGATCTGTTTGGAGAATCTTGCAAAGTTATCAATGAACGATCACCAGTCTTAACTTTTATGGACTCTGATCGTTTACTGTTCACCAAAGCCCCCGAAGAAGTAAATACAGATTCAAATAAAACCAACGTCTTCGGTAAAGAAACATACGAAGACCATACTACAGACAAAAACATTTACAAACCCGAAAATGCACTTCAAAGTTCCGAAAAGCAGAAACGAATAAGACAAAGCTACTCCCTTGACTTCCCTCGTCTTTCAAACGATAATAAAAAGAGAAAACTATCAATAGAAACGAAATTCGAAAGTATTCAACCGAAAGGTTTTTTCAAGGAAACAATTAACAAACTATTTGATCAAGATTCGAAGCAAGGACAGGATAGTTTCAAGAGCTATTTGTGCGAGGCCAAAGAAGAGGTAGGCCAGGATCTCTTGTAGTCGTAAAACGGAGTCAATCTAGTGGGATCAATGTCAAATTATTAGGAAATATCGATATATTAAGGACTGCTTAACATAAATAAAGATCAAAGAACGTCTGGACTGTAAGAAACTGGAAAAATTAATTAAAATCGCGGGTTACTCACGTGAATATACTGAGAAAAGCTCTACTAGTTTCGAACCACAGAGCGGCGGGAGCTGCGCGACGTCGCCGCGACCGCACACGCTGCTCATGAGGAAGAACCCCTCTTTTCTCAGTATATACACGTGAGTAACCCGCGATTTTAGTTAATTTAGTATGTCTCACGATTGTTATTATAAAAACTGGAAAAAGTTACTCAAAGGTTAACAATAACCGTTTGACTAATTTAACATTTACTTTTGATTATGTATTGCAATCTTAAAGAATACAATTGATGCTATGTAAACTGTTTGTATTCAAAGTTTTGTTTTAACAAATTTACCATCGATGTACAACAATTGTTTTAAAACTCGTAAGTATTTAAATATATGGACACAAAAATAGATATTAAGTAGTAAATTATATTATAACTTATAAGTAATGGACACCATCCAGTCATTATATTTTAAGTTATGTTATGTTTAAGAAATACAGTAAGACAATGTATTTTGTGTTGTATTGTATTGTAAAAATACTGTATTTTTAGTTTCGTTTAGATATTAGGTAGGTATGTTAGTAAATGACAATAGATATAAAAAATTAGATATCTTGTTAGAATAGAATTAAAATATTTTGCCTTATTTTAATCTAGTTGTTGCTCGTAGGATACGCCGCCCGTGTGGTTTTTTTTTTGTTTTTATGCGTTTTTTCAATGTTGTATTTTTTTGTCACATCATGCTTGCAATGTAATTGTAATAAACAGCCAAAGTTATTAAATAAAATAATATTATAACTTATCATTAAAATATAAACTTATGTTGCTTTTGATATTAATGTATTTTGTTGAAGTAATTTAAGGAATAAATGTATTACTTTTATTTGATTGTCGTATAACGTTCCGAGTAATAGATTTATTATTATAGTTTTGTATAGAATCATAATTACATGACAACAAATTGTTACCATGGAGTCTCCATGGCTTCATAGATCTTATTATTCACGAAGATATTTGTAACTTTTGTTAAAAATTGTATCTCATTTTTGTTTCTGTTAAGAATTGTACTTATAATTAAAAATTAAGTCTATCAAAAAGTCACAGAATATTGAAAAGATAATATCACAAAAGAAAAGGAAATTCAAAACAGTTCATTTGTTTTTAAAAAATTGCAAGTCATCATAGTGGCTCGTTGGTGGTACGGCATGGCATGTCTGTACCTAAAATTGTTATTATCTAATTTTTAACTTTATAATTCCAACTTTAAGGTTTAAAATTAGTAGTTCAATAACCTTTACCATGTCATGCCACTAAATCAAAATTTAACGTTCGATTTATAAAATTTGACAGTCCCAAAACTTTTAATTGCAAAATGAAGTTTTAAAAATACAAAATTAGAACGAAAAATTATAAAAAATTGTTAAAGAACGCACATTGATACCTGACATCTATTTCTGTGTAAGAAATTGAAGTTTATATTAAAAGTAAATTGAGGGTAGAGCGGTGCTGGTTGACAGGTAAGACGGTGCGTATGTAAATTCAAATAAAAAGACGGTTTATGTCAAAGCTCTGTGATATAGATTCGAGTGCCAAAATAAAAAATAAGAAAAAAAAATAAAATTATTTTTTGGAACGAAAAAATGTAGATGTAACAATAATATTAATAATTGTTTTAGGATTAAATGTGTAATGTTTAATTAATAGTTTAGTTTTTAAGCGATTTTAGTGTGTAAGTAAAAATATTTGATTTGCTGTTTTTTTTTTGAAAATGTTATTGTGTAATTTTAAACATTTTCCGCAAATAGAATGATGTTACATTTTTCATCTAGTCAGAATATATGGTTTACTAAACATTGTGAGTAAACATCCCAACAATCAATTTCAAATATATCATTATTCCCATACTTTGTTTTAGTTATCTCCATGATCCAATGTAAGAATGATACCCAGTTTTAGTTATCTCCATGATCCAATGTAAGAATGATACCCAGTTTTAGTTATCTCCATGATCCAATGTAAGAATGATACCCAGTTTTAGTTATCTCCATGATCCAATGTAAGAATGATACCCAGTTTTAGTTATCTCCATGATCCAATGTAAGAATGATACCCAGTTTTAGTTATCTCCATGATCCAATGTAAGAATGATACACACGACAACGAGTACCTTTGTCTAACTCTTTAACAAAACAGAAATATAATATTGACTATACACACTTCTACTCCACATAACATAACATAACATCACGCCTTTTTATCCCCGAAGGTGTAGGCAGAGATGCACATTTCGGCACTTAATGCCACTGTCCAATATAAGTAATACCCACTTTTCACTATTTATGATATGAGTCCCATGTAATAGGGGGTTAGCCTATTGCCATATACCCGGCACATTTCCAGACTCCGTGCTACTACTGAGATTTTTAAAAACACAGTAATACTTTGCCCGACCCGGGAATCGAACCCGAGACCTCTTGCCCGGCAGTTGCACTTGAGACCACTCGATCAACGAGGTAGTCTACAGTTCTACTCCTATCTTACAAAAAGGTAAAGTTTTACCAAAAACCAAAACTTCATTACACTCTTCTTTCTGTTTTACGTCCAAATGATTCCCTTTTAGTGTCGTATTTGCCCCTTAGAAGGTCTCTCTTAATAAAATAGGGCCTCATATGAAGTTCAGTGGTTTAATATTGTGCTACCACGACGAAATTCTGTTTGTCACCGGCAGCAAACACAGTCGAAATTACCTTTTGTGTGTCGAGTCTCTAATAATTATGTTGGTAATTTAAATATTATGTCTTAGTTAGTAGATATTAAATTATACTTGTTGTTTTGTCCGGTATATGGCAATAGGCTCACCCTCTATTACATGGGACTCATAACATAAATAGTGAAAAGTGGAGGTTACATTTTACTGTGGCATTATGTACCGTAATGTGCACCTCTGCCTGCCCATTCGGGGATAAAAGGCGAGGTCATATGATTGCTGTTTGTTAAATTAATTGGTTTCGTTTTATTTACATCTTATTTTGCTAAAATATCTAAAATCCATAAAGTTATGTTGTCTTGGAACCATTTTTACAAGTACCTACCTATCCATAACCATAATCATAATTATTCTTTCGATTCTTATTTTTTTTCGATTTACTAAAAATAAAATCGAATAAAAGTTTTTTTGCCGTTTAAACTGTCAAACACCAAGCGGTCACCGGTGACCGCGACCTATTGTTCTTTAATTGTGTCTATAAAACCGGTACTCGACGAGTTAAAGGACATTTTAATAAATACTTGTTTATTATCCTTAATTAGAATTATAATATAAAAGAAATATTGTCAAATACTGTCACTGCGCTTCATAGTTGGCGTTGATATCGAATAAGTGTTAATGTTATGTTGGTGGATTATTAAATTATAGTCGGATTTATTTTACTTGGATTTATTACAATAATGTGCAGGGCGCACGACGCGTTAATAACGAGTGTCCTACCTTATATAACACATTATAATGAGGGGGGTCACTACTTACTAATTAGTGATGTTGATACAGACTAAACATACATGTAACAGATCACTTTTAACTGACTTCTAAAATTATCATAAAGTTGTTTTCAGTAAGCAATAACCCTAAAATTTACCCTATAAACATAAAATTGTGAACTTTAGAAACGTTACTGCTGTATGCAAATCCCCAAAAAAGAACAATAGAACCTAAATAACAATTGTATATTGATCTACCAATGTAAACCGATTAACCTATGAAAACTTATCTTGCTTACTTTTTTTTTTTTTTTTTCTTACATAATCTATTTAATGGGCTAAAATATTTACACCTTAAAAAATAATAATAATGAAAAAATAATAATAATGAAAAAATAATAATACCTAATGAAAAAATAATAATAATGAAAAAAGAAAATTATAAGGCATCTTTCTTATTAACTTAGGCATGCTCAAATCTATGATACTGTCAAAAATTACAGCAAAAAATCAAAAGGAACTTTAACGCAAACAAATATATAAAGAAAAAAATACGTTATTTAAATCAAAAAGTTTTTATATCTCTATTTCATTCCAGGAAAACAAAATAGGTATGATGATACAGTCTTGGTTATTCCCGTCGCTTTTTCAGTAACAATATCAACTTTTACAATAGCGAGTACTTCACCGACACTCGCACTTATCCCACTGACAGTAGTCCGCCATTTTGTAAACACACACTTGAAATGGCGGTGCAATTTTCCCGCCAACTAACGAGGTTGGCTGTTCAACATGCGGCCAACTCCACTGGTATTTTATATTTGTTTTTGTGAATAATCTTTAAAGTTTTGTCAAAATTGTCTACCTTGTTTAAAGTAAGGGCAATAGGTAAAAATACTTTGAAATGTACACAGTACACGATACACGGAACAAGACTAGTTATCTGCTTGTAGCTTCACCTGCGTATTTAAAGTTTTGTCTAATATTTATGAAAATATTCTTTTCTAATTAATCCAGTAGCTTTGAAGCCTAGTTACCAAACAAAATCAAATATTTACTTTTTACAATTTTAGTAAAGATACAATATTATGTTAAATAAAGTCTCTTTAAAGTTAATTAGCATAGATTAAAATAACTTAAAACACATAAACCGTTATAAGTTCATACATAACGCACAATAGGGTAGATGCCTAATTTTTATTTTAATGTCCGTCTGGTAGATTTTTTTAAATCACATAACATACATAACATCACGCCTTTTATCCCCGAAGAGGTAGGCAGAGGTGCACATTATACCACTACAATGTAACACCCACTTTTCACTTTTTATATTATGAGTCCCATGTAATAGGGGGTGAGCCTATTGCCATATACCGGGCACAATTCCAGACTCCGTGCTACTACTGA